AACTGTTATTCAGTCCCACATGCAGCAAATGATCATTTTTCTTGTAAATCCTCTGCATCAGCAGAAGCATTTGATGCTGCTGAAGGCTGTATTAATCACCAAAAGACAAGAATCCATCTCCCACTGGGATTTATCTCTGTGCCTGGGCAGGAAATGCACACACAGCTCTCTGGAAGGAGATTTCCCACTCAGAACTCCTGGTGATTTTCCATGGGTTTGGTTGAAACCCCTGAGGATGGAGGGAATTGGGGAGAGCAGGGGTGTCAGTGAGGGCGGAACTGCCCAGGGGCAGGTGAGGGTCACAGGCCAGGTGTGAGGGACACTTCTGTCCCCACAGACACACCTGGCCAGGGCAGGAGGGACTCGGGGCACTGCCCTGGGGGGCTAATGCTGAAAAGCAGATGGAAAATCAGCCCTGCAGTGATCCTGGAGGGAATTCCAGCTGCAGGTGAGTCAGGCTCTTTGTCTGCCCTCTGATAATCCCCCGGGAGGTGTTGGGAGAGGATTCCAGGGAAAAGCAGAGCTTTGGGTCTCTGGAGAGCCCGGCTGTGTGCGAGCCCTGCAGGGCTGGAGCAATGTGGGATTTACAGCATTTAAATGAGAAGGGAGAGCCAATTTGGATTCAACAATCCCCCCCAAAAAACCAGGCAGAAGGGAGATTGTCCAGGCACAAAAACCCCACCTCGGAGTCTTTCTGCTCCAGAAGAAAAGCCAGGCAGTAAATACGGGGAAAAGCCATGAATAATTAATGTCATTATTGTCCTCAGTGCTGCCGGCTGTGAGCATCCTGCTCTGGACCTGCTCCATCCCATCCAGCCTGGCCTTGGGCACTGCCAGGGATGCAGGGGCAGCTCCATCTTCTCTGGGCACCCTCTACCAGGGCCTCACACCCTCACAGGGAAGGATTTTAACCTAAATCTCCCAAGAGCTCCAGCTTGGCCCTTCATTTCCCAGCTGGGTTTGTGGCTGAGCAGATCCCAGCCCTCTCTTGTGCCTTTGGGGCTCCTTAATCCTCCGTGCCCTCGGGCAGCTCCAGGAACAGCCCTGAGCTCCCTCCAAGGCAGCCTCAGCACAGGTGATGCCCTGCAGGGGCTGCTGGAGCCCTCTGGGATTTCTGGGCTCTTTTGCCACAGCAGCACCTGGGATGCAGCAGAGCCAGGGATGGAGGTGGGAGGATGGGAGAGCAAGGAGGGGTTTCCCCTCTCCCACCTGTCCTGACAAAATCCTGCCAAAATCTTGTCAAAATCTTGTCAAAATCCCACCAAAATCTTGTCAAAATCCCACCAAAATCTTGTCAAAATCTTGTCCAAATCCTGGCAAAATCCTGCCAAAATCTTGTCCAAATCCTGCCAAAATCCTGGCAAAATCCTGGCAAAATCTTGTCAAAATCTTGGCAAAATCCTGCCAAAAATCTTGTCAAAATCCTAACTAACAAAATTCTGGCAAAAACCTGACAAAATCTTGTCCAAATCCTACCAAAATCTTGTTAGAATTTTGCCAAAATCCTGCCAAAATCTCATCAAAATCTTGTCATAAATCCTGCCAAAATCTTGTCAAAATCCCAACAAAATCTCAACAAAATCCTGCCAAAATCTTGTCTAAATCCTATCAAAATCCTGACAAAATCCTGACAAAATCCTGCCAAAATCTTTTCAAAATCTTGTCAAAATCCTGACGAAATCCTGGCAAAATCTGCCCTGTTCCCAGCTTTCCATGGGATATGGGATGTCTGTAGCTGGACCCCAGCTGGGATTCTCCCCCTTTTACCAAAACCATCCAATTTTGCCCAAGGACCAGCAGGAAACTCCCAACTGCAGCCACAGCATGGAAGGGCCACCCCACCCTGCTCAGTCACAACCTGGGGATCAAAGAGCCTGATTCCATCAAATCCATCTCTTCTCTCCAAAGAAAAAAATAATTTTTGATTACACCTTTTGGGAGAGGCTTCTTAAACATAGAAAATTTAATTTTGGATTGACGCGTTCATTTCGCTCTGCTTTGGGTGATAAAAGAAAAGTGGAAAATTTAATTTCCTCTTTGTTCGCTCTGTCCTGGAATGCCCTTGTGGAGATGATGCCCAGGGTGTTCTCATTTCTCTCATTTCTCTCCCAGCGCCCTCCTTTGCTGTTTAAACCCATCAAAATCACAAAACCTCTGCAGCTGAGGAGGGTGGAAGGGAGTGGAGCAGTGCTGGGTCAGCGCACTCCCCTCAGCTCTGCAAAGGGAGCAAAGCCACCATGGAGCTGGGGCTGCTTTGGCCGGAGCCTGGAGGAACAAACAGGACAGAAAACGAGAGCCAGGAGCGGATCTGCGGGTGGAAAAGGGGCCGCTGGATTCCTGGATTCCTGGAAGGATTAAAGTGCCTCGTTAAACAGCCTCATTCAGGCAGGAGCGCTGACACCCCGGCTTAACAACGCCTTTAGAGGCCGTTTGGGAAAGGTTTAAAGCTGCCATAATTCATGTCCATCCCTCGGACCATGAAAGGATGAAGAGAGGGTTTATGGCAGCCATCTCCTCCGCTCTCAGGATTTAGGAGCTTCAGGAGGATGTCTGGACACTTGTCTGGGGCTGTGTGGGCTCCTGGCAAACGAGGCTCACATTGCTCCAGTCCCAAACCCAGGGCTGAGCCCAGAGATCTGCAAATCCAGAGGGAAAGGTTGGGAGATGGAGAAAATCCGTCCTGGAGAAAAATCCGTCCTGGGGGGAATCTACACTGGGGGAAAATCCATCCTGGGGGAAATCCATCCAGGGGGAAATCCATCCTGGGGGAAAACCCATCCCCAATTTCTCCTTTCAGTCTGCCCTGTGATGAAATTCCCCAATTCTCCTTTTCAGGCTGGCCTGGGATAAAATTCCCAAATTCTCCTTTTCAGGCTGTCCTGTGATAAAATTCCCAAATTCTCCTTTTCAGGCTGGCCTGTGATAAAATTCCCAAATTCTCCTTTTCAGGCTCTCCTATGATAAAATTCCCAAATTCCCCTGGCAGTGCTGCCTGCAGCTCCTGCCAGGGCAGTGTGAAACCCCAGGGTGCTGCTGCCTGCAGCATCTTTATGGATTAGGGCTCTCCGGGTTCTCCACTGCTTTTAATTGGGATGATTAATTGTCTCGCCATCAATTCAGTTGGAAATGTGTCATTTTGATTCTTTCCTTGTTTGGGGACCGATTTTTCCCCTGCCAAACGCTGCTGAGGAGCTGCAGTGCTGTCACTGCCACCTTGCCCTGGGTCAGGGGCAGAACAGCCAGGATGGAATTAAGGAGATGATCTGGAGATTTTAAGGAGATTTGGGTGAAGAACCAGCCCAGGGGACAGCAGAATGCCACAGCACTGCAGATTCCTCTGCTGCCATCCTGTGAAACCCTTGGGATGCTCAGCACCTTCTTCATCACCCTCTTTTCTCCTCCTCCTGGGTTGGTTTGGTTTTCAGCACCTTCATCACCCTCTTTTCTCCTCCTCCTGGGTTGGTTTGGTGCCTCCTGCTCCTGCAGCCCCACACCCAGGGCCCTGCTGCTGCTCAGCCTGGTCCCACAGCCCATTTTTGCCGGAGTTATTGGCACCCATCACCCACCAGCACCAGGAATCCCTGCAGGGCTCTGCCCCTGGTTGAACCCCCCCTGTTTTTCCTGCCTGCATCCAGCCCCCCCCAAACTGCCCTGGCATTTCTGTGCCCTCCATCCAGGGGCAGCTGGGATAAAGAAGAGTGGGAAGAGCAGCACTTTGCATTCTTTATTTGTGGGAACAGTTTGTTCGGTGACAGGAGCAGAGCTGGGACCCTCCCCTGGTGCTCCAGCTGCACCCAGAGCCCCCCATGCCAGCCCCCCGTGTGCCCCCAGCCCCTGGCTGGGATCCCAGGCAGGGCAGAGCTCAGTTCCCCATTCCCCACACGTTCCCAGTACAATTCCACAGCAATACTGGAGCATCCTCACTGCCAGAGCAAGCTGGGCTTGGCTGAGCACTTGTCCTTGCCAGGGATTGCTCCCCATGGAATCACAGAGTCCCAGAATGGTTTGGGTTGGGAGGGACATTAAAGATCATTCAATTCATTAAAGACCATTCAATTCAATAAAGATCATTAAATTAATTAAAGATCATTCAATTCATTAAAGACCATTCAATTCATTAAAGATCATTTAATTCCCATCCTGCCATGGGCAGGGACACCTTCCACTGTCCCAGGTGGCTCCAAGCCCTGCCCAGCCTGGCCTTGGAGGGGGCTTCTTTAGCAGCTTCACAATAAATAAATAAATAGGGTTGCACTGGAGGGAAAGTTCTGCAGCTGGAAGCCCGAGGGGAAGGTCTGAGATGGGGCTCCCACAGTTCAGTACCAGCTCAGTGACCACAGAGCTGCAGCTGGGCCACCCCCTGCCAGTCCAAGGTGCATGTTTTTATGGTTTCCAGCCAGTTTTTCCCGCTCTTTTCTGCCTGAGGCCATAGGTCACTCCATCTCTTCCTCTGCTTAGTGAGTTTTCTACAATCCAAAGTCAGGAGCTCGGTGTGCTCCTTCCCACAGCTGCAGGAGAGGGATGGATGCTCTGCCATGGATGTTGTGCCATGGATGTGCCATGGATATTGTGCCATGGATGCTGTGCCATGGATATTCTACCATGGGTGCTCTGCCATGGATGTGCCATGGATATTGTGCCATGGATATTGTGCCATGGATGTTGTGCCATGCATGCTGTGCCATGGATGTTGTGCTATTGATGTTCTTCCATGAATGTTGTGCCATGGATGCTCTTCCATGGATTTTGTGCCATGGATGTTCTACCATGGATGCTGTGCCATGGATGCTCTGCCATGGATATTGTGCCATGGATGCTCTGCCATGGATGTGCCATGGATGTGCCATGGATGCTGTGCCATGGATGTTGTGCCATGGATGCTCTGCCATGGATGTTCTGCCATGGATATTGTGCCATGGATGTTCTGCCATGGATGTACCATGGATGCTCTACCATGGATGCTGTGCCATGGATGCTGTGCCATGGATGCTGTGCCATGGATGTTGTGCCATGGATGTTCCATGGATGCTGTGCCATGGATATTGTGCCATGGATGCTCTGCCATGGATATTGTGCCATGGATGTTCTGTCACGTTCTGAGCCTCAGGTGGGAAATCCTGGCTCCCAAGGGTGGCTGGTCCTGCTGAAATGGGACTTCCTGCAAGGAGAAGGATTGCCAGGTCCCAGCCTTGCCAAGGCAGGACAGCTGGAGATTTTTTGGAGCAAGGAGATAAGAAAGGCCCCATTCCTGCCCTGTGCCAATCCTGCTGCTCCTTGGGAACAGTCAGGGCCCTCCAAGCTCTTAGAGGAGAAGAGGTAGACAGAGAAGACACCAGAAGGAGAAACAAGCACAGAATAAATCGAAGGAATCTTCCATGCTCCTGTCTCTTGGTCTTGGACAGATTCCTGCCGCACCTGGATCCCCACCCAGCAGAGGACAGGCTGCCATGACCTGCTGGGCTCCTGACCTGCTGTGAGACCTGGCTGTGCCTCTTCCAATCCAGCTGGAGCCCACACTGGGCCTGGTGCTGCCTTCTGCAAAGGCTTTTCCAAGGGGAAAAACCCCTCAGCACGTTTGTCATGGTTTGGATAAATGTCCAAACCACCTCCTTCAGTTCCTGTGGCTTCCTGGTGTCCTCCAAGGCTCTCAGAGCCTCTCCTGGTCCCGTGGTGGTCCTTGCCCAGCTTCTCCTGGAGGTGCTGCGTGGTGGGTGATGGGTTGGGATGAGGACCTTGCCAAGGCAGTCACTTCCCACAGCATCCCCTGGCTCAGGGAGGAGAAGCTGTGCTCCCACTCCATCTCTGCAGAGCCCTCACAGCTCAGGGCGGTGAGGAACAGAGGTTGGTTCAGCTCTCCACCATTCCTGGGCATCCAGGGATCTCTGTGGGGAACAGAGAGAAAGGAGAACAGCATTAATTTAGCACAGAGAGGCTGGGAAATAGGAGGGATTCGGATGCCAAAGCCAGGAGAGAGATTAAACCTCTTTCCTTGATTGTGGAGATAGGAAATGACTGACAAGGCAGATGAAAAAATGGGAAATTAATTCGGAGCTAGAGAAAGGAACAAGTACAGAATATGCCAGTGTTTTTATTTTCTGGAAGTGATATTTTTTTAATAAGGACATGTAAAAGATTATCATCTGTGTGTGTAGGAGAAGAAAACAGCTTTAAAGCCAAAATGGATCTGCAGAGAGGGAAAAAAACCCCATATCTTTTCTTTGGGAACACAATGCCTCTCTCGGAAGAATTCTGGGTATCCAAACTGGAGCTGTATTTCTTGTGCAAATCAAGGATGAAGTTCCAACATGACAGGGATGATTTGCACCAGTGTCCCTTGCCAGCATCACTTTAAAAGCATTATTTATACTCCATCTGCCCTGAAAGTGTGGTTACCCCTCCTTTTTTCCTTCCTTGCTCCCTTCTTCCCTTCTCCTTCATTCTCAACCTGTGCCAGGGCCTCCCCACCCTCTCAGGGAAGAATTTCTTCCCAATATCTCAATATCCCACCTCTGTTGATGTGAAGCCATTCCCCCTTGTCCTGTCCCTACAATTCCTGAGGAAAACTGGAAATCTTGCAGATTATGAGCTCTTTAGGAAATCCCTGTGTGAAACAATCCCAGCTCTGCATTTCCAGCAATTCCACAGGCAGCATTCCCCCAGGGGACCAAGGAGCAGCAGCTCGTCCAGGGTGGGCAATGCCCCAGCCATGGAGGATGGATGAGGGAAGAGCTGTGGCTTTGGGCACACTGGGGTTTCTCCAGAACAAATCTGGAAATTCAGGATGAATTCCTCTGCCCTTTTCCATCAGCTGGCAGCCCGAGGCCTCTTCTGCAGCAATCCTATAGATGGTGCTTGTCAGCTTCCAAGGAAACCTGAACCTCTCCCACAGCTCCCAGGGCAGAGCACTGGTGGAGATCAAGTGGGAAGATCCAAAATAATTCCATTTCTGTGCTCAGGAAATGGAGCCACAGAGCTCAGCAAGGCTCTGCATCCCTCACCACTGGGGTTTAATTGCTGCTGCTCTAATTGGGGAGTTTTGCTCATTATGGTGGTGCTGCTCATCACCCCCATCCCTGCAGGGCTGAGGTCCTGATTTGGCTTTTCACAGGAAAACAAAGGAAGTTCCTGGATATCTCACTACAAGATGGTCACAATAATGACTTTGTGGTGCTCCAAATCCAGGCCACACAGTCTGATAGGAGTTCTGGAATGTTCTGCCCAGGAAGGTGAATGGAGTCACCATCCCTGGGTGTGTTTAACAAAGCCTGGATGTGGCACTGGGTGCCAGGGTTGAGTTGAGCTATTGGGGCTGGGTTGGACTGGATGGTCTTGAAGGTCTCTTCCAACCTGGTCATTCTGTGATTCTGTGAATTCTGTGAATTCTGTGAGATTCTGTGTGTGGTTCTGTGTGATTCTGTGATTGTGTGTGATTCTGTGAATTCTGTGATTCTCTGAATTCAGTGAATTCTGTGACTGTATGTGATTCTGTGATTCTGTGAATTTTGCAATTCTGTGTCATTCTGTGAAGTCTGTGTGATTCTCTGAATTCTGTGAATTCTGCAATTCTGTGTCATTCTGTGAATTCTGTGTCATTCTGCAAATTCTCTGAATCAATTCCAGCAAAACCCATGGAACTGCTCTGCCATCAGCTCTGCATCCCAGAGCAAGCCCTGCCTTGCTGCTGAGTCCCAGGACACGCTGAGCCCAAGCTCCTTTGCAGTGAATCAGCAGCAGAACTCTGAAATAAAGGAACCAAACTCCTTTGCAGGAAATCAGAAGCAGGGCTCTGCAATGTAGGCATCAAACCTCTTTGCAGTAAATCAGCAGCAGAACTCTGAAATAAAGGAACCAAACTCCTTTGCAGGAAATCAGCAGCAGGGCTCTGAAATAAAGGAACCAAACTCCTTTGCAGAAAATCAACAGCAGAACTCTGAAAATAAAGGAATCAAACTCCTTTGCAGGAAATCAGCAGCAGAACTCTGAAATAAAGGAACCAAACTCCTTTGCAGGAAATCAGCAGCAGAACTCTGAAATGAAGGAATCAAACCCCCTTCACAATTCCATCGCGGCGCCGACGTCAGCGCGGCCATTCCGGATTTATCCTCGTGTCTCTCAGAGAGGATTTAGCCCTCACTGATTTATTCCCCTGTAAAAGTGAGGTGCAGGGGGAGGGGGTTTGCAGCAGGCCCTGATGGAAGGCAGGGCTGCCCAAATGGTGGCAAAATCCCAAGGATTTTTATTTATGGGCTCCCCTGTGCGGAGGGAGCGGGGCTGGGAGATGGCAGCTGGAATAAACAGCACAGCCCTTCTCCCAAACATCTGCCTCGTAAAAGCACAAAATCAGATGTTGTCCGGAATGCTGCTGGCTGCTCCCAGTGACACGGACAGAGCACAGCTCGCCTGACCCCTTCCAACATTTCCTCTGCCCTGGGAGCCGAGTTCCTCAAGGTTCACAAGGCAAAGCTTAATACTGAAAACAGAAGTTGGCCGAGGAAACCTTACAGGCTCTGGTAATGAGCAGTGCCTGGTCACCTGTGGGAATCCTGGATTCAGCAGGATGGATCAGCCACATCCCACAAAGCTTTGTTAACAACTTCCCACCTGGAATCCTCTCCTGTCCATTCCCTTCTTTTGGTTCAGGACACTCCTAGGAGAGGTGGAAGCCTGATGATGATGATGACGTTATTGGTCATTAGTCCTAGTTAATCCCAGGCTCAAGGACAGCCATAACACAGGGTGAGGAGCTGATGAGAAAGTCAGAATTCCCTTCCCAGTCAATGGGAATGGATTGCTGCCCACAGAGTCACGGCAGAAGCTTGAAATGGCTCCCAGGGGACATTTCCCAGGGGGTCAAGGAGAAGATGAAGAGGAAAACAAATTCCCTGTGGGTTGTCTCAGTGCTTTGCACTAAGTGGTTTTGCAAATCAGCAGGAACAGCAGAGACAGGACATGGGGAATGGCTTCAGAATGACAGGGAGCAGGCTTAGATGGCATGTTGGGTATAAATCCTTCCCTGTGAGGGTGTGAGGCCCTGGTAGAGGATGCCCAGAGCAGCTGTGGCTCCCCTGCATCCCTGGCAGTGCCTAAGGCCAGGCTGGATGAGACTTGGAACACCCTGGGACAGTGGGAGCTGTCCCTGCCCATGGCAGGGGTGGAATGAGAAGATTTTTAAGTCCCTTCCAACCCAGACCGTTCTGGGAATCTCCGATTCCATAAATGTTGGATTTGCTTCACTCCATTTGAGCCCTGTGCCCTGTGAAATCTCCATGGGAGCTGGATGTCCATGGACATGGAGCTCTCTGCAAGGCACTGAGCAGCTCCTCCCCAAGCAATCCAAGGATTCAGGGTGGAATAAGGGCAGAGCAAGGCAGAATTTCCTGCCCCAGCCCTCCAGGAGCCAGGAGAATCTGCCAGCCTTGTCCTGCACCGCCTGCAGCTCCACAGGGGTCTCACAACCCAGCCAGGCCTGGCACAGCCCCTTCCAGACTGTGCCCCCTTCCTTTCCTACCTGTCCAAGCTTTCCCTGGAAACTCCTGCTATTTTATCCTGTTTCTGCAACCTGTCATCCCCCATTTGCCAACAGCTCCTCCTGGAACGTTTAAACAGCATCTGCTGCAAGTGGAGGGTGTGAGAGGAACCCCAGGGCTCAGCAACAGGAGAGGAACCATCAGGTGCTCCTGCACAGCTCAAGGGGAAAGAAAAACCTGTGAATGCCTGACAGAAAGCCAAGGTGTAGCACAAAAAACAGCCCCAGAGTGTCCCAGTCCCAGGTTTAGTCTGGTTTATGATCACTTTTATCTAGGAAAGGAAAAATTCCAGCTCATCCCCTCCAGTTTGCTGTGCCAAGCCCAGCACAGCCCGGCTGGGCTCTTGGTCCAGCAGCCACAAAGCCAGACTGGGACACAGATTCCCAGGTAGTTCTTAGCACAGCTTTCCCCGTGAACCAGCACCAAATAACCTCCATATATCTACTGCTGGCTGTGGTGTCAAACTGCTCTGGAGATCCAAGTCCTCTGTGCCCTTCACTCCCATCAGCACTGGGATATCACTCAAATCTACATGAGGGAATATCCCTGGCTCCCACTCTGGTGCAGCTCCATTCCTAAACCCCAAACCCGTATTTTAATCTCCTTTGCTGAGGAATAATGTCCCCATCCAGTGATGGGTTTGAAGGACTCCTTTTTTTCCAAGCAGAGATCATCCAAGTCCCTCTGGAGAGCAGCCAGGGTGGGAACAGCTGCAAAGCAACAGGATTTTAAAAGCTCTGTTACCCCTTTTCCCTCTCCTTCCCTTGTCCCAGCTTCTCTGAGGGGTTTTTTCTCCTGTTCAGTTTTGGGGAAGTGGAAGGGCATTGCTTGCTTTGGGTCTTGTGGGGTTTTTAATCACTGAGCAGATGGAATGTTGATCCCAACAGAGGGAGCAGGGATAGAACCATGGAATGACTGGGGATGGAAGGGACCTTAAAACCATCCAGTGCCACCCCTGCCATGGCAGGGACACCTCCCACTGTCCCAGGCTGCTCCAAACCCTTCCCTGGACACTCACATGGAAGGATTTAATCCAATATCCCACCTAAACCAATGCAGGCAACACTTTCCCTTGCTTTGTGGCACTGTAATTTCCTTTTCTTGGTGTGATGCCAGCAGAGTGTAGATGTGTCCCTAAGCCTGGCTCACACCCAATTTCCTCTGCAGATATTCCAACTAACACAGGACTTAAACCCAAGCCAAACAAGTTAACAATGAGCAGAACAACCTTGTCCCTGGAGGAACAACAGATCCCCTCCTCCACCTGCCTTTGGACTGCTCACAAAGGGAGATTTGGGATGGAATTTTGAATTCTCTACCTGCCTTGACTCCTCACAAAGGAAGATCTGGGATGG